GTGTCTAAATGTAGCATAATAATAATAATAATAATAATAATAATAATAATAATAATAATAATAATAATAATAATAATAATAATAATAATAATAATAATAATAATAAAAATAATAATAATGAAATAATATATATATTATTAACACGAAATATTGTAGTAATGACACAGTGTTTTGTGATAAAAATTGTCTGGTTTTAAATGTCTCCAATAGGCTTTCGTAGTTTCTGGTCATTGATGGTTACTGTCTTCGTCAACTACGAAATGTTCCACGACCAAGAGCGCGTAAGTTCTCACAGTAGGTCTCGCGTGCATCTATAGTTATTTTCGCTGAAGGAATGATTCAGTGAAAATAAAATCCAGGGATATAACTTTTTTCTATATTTTTATATTCAACTCGCCAAGAATCAGTGAAATTAAACTCCATACAAAACACCAAAAAGGTCTTTTTGTGAATATTAATTCCGGCTAAAATAAAGTCTTTAACAGTATTTGATTGACAGCCACGGGTATTATACGACAGCCCCGTGATATCGCGCCATTTCTTTAATGAATTTCGGTATTTTGACTCCTAAAAATAATCAATGCGCTCAATGCATAAACTCAGTCGACGAGATTGGCCGCGGACAATAGAAGAGCAAACAGATAAATAAGCAATGAATGCATAAACAAACAAACAAACAAATAAATAAATAAAATTGTGTACACACATGTAAATAAGGAACGCCGGAGATTTAGGTCGCTATGCATGAATTGTTAGTCGTGTGTTTTGATGTGAATTGTGTTGAGGTATTGTCCCGCATTGAAATCTATCTTTCATTGTTATTTTAATATGACCCCATGTGAACCAGGATAAGGCAAATCACGACGTCTACCTGGCAGACTTCCAGTCATCTCCAATGTATTTTCAACGTCAACATCGTGTTCTTAATCTTGGAATTATTCAACCGCCAAGGTAAGACAAACTGTTGGTCGGTCTTACGTTGTTCAATTCAGTTTGTGTCCATGTGTGGGGAAGAGTTGGGTGGAGATACATATATGAGTGTGTATATGGGAGTCCTGATATATTTATGTTACAACTATCTGGCAGACTTCCAGTCATCTCCAATGTATTTTCAACGTCAACATCGTGTTCTTAATCTTAGAATTATTCAACCGCCAAGGTAAGACAAACTGTTGGTCGGTCTTACGTTGTTCAATTCAGTTTGTGTCCATGTGTGGGGAAGAGTTGGGTGGAGATACATATATGAGTGTGTATATGGGAGTCCTGATATATTTATGTTACAACTATCTGGCAGACTTCCAGTCATCTCCAATGTATTTTCAACGTCAACATCGTGTTCTTAATCTTAGAATTATTCAACCGCCAAGGTAAGACAAACTGTTGGTCGGTCTTACGTTGTTCAATTCAGTTTGTGTCCATGTGTGGGGAAGAGTTGGGTGGAGATACATATATGAGTGTGTATATGGGAGTCCTGATATATTTATGTTACAACTATAATTTAAAATTCATTATATTACGTAGAAAGAAGCGAACTTTGTAGGATTGTTAATAGTAATTCTTTTAAAATTAATTTTATTTAAATCAAATTTGTGTAGTGTGCGAAATATCGCCGTATTTTCAACTTTTCATCACCAGTTCCCTCTTTTCACCACAAATTCACAAAATAGTCCCGTTCATAGTCTGCATTTCCCTTCAGAAGATTAAGACAAAAATAGCCACATTTTTTGAGTGAAAACTGAAAATTGAGTCAATTTTTTTGTTGGCTGCAAAAACTAGGGCTCATTCCCGGAATTATTGAAGAATATAAAAAAAAAAGTGCAGAAAAATTTGGGCGAGAAAATCTGGTGGCGAATACGTTAAGTCACAGTACACTGTTACAGTGTCCGCATGACCCATTGTTATTCGTGTCGTGTTCTGTTTAAGCAACAAACAACTAGTACAAAGGTGTCACATAAAACCATTAACTCCAGAGTTATTTTAAGAATATACTTTAATACCATCACAAATATTTATGTGACAATATGACGATGATTTATATAAAATATTTTGGTAGCGAATCAGTCCATGTAATAATGAGATTTCTACTGCCTGGGACAATACCATCTCAACTTTTGTATTAACAATGGCAGCAATGCTTCGTCATTTAAATCTGACCTCCCGCGATAGAAATCCTTTTCTTCATATTTAATTACGCGGAACTACTGAGATTTGGCATTGTTGGTGTTGTTAGTTCTGTCTCATGTCACCATCGAGGAAGTCACGAAAGCATTTGATCTGTCACATCACAATTTTACCCAAGTCATTATTGCAATGTTTTCGATCTCTGTATTTTTATTCAACGTAGCTGGATGAATATACCTACACATTGATATCTCTTTCTTGAAAGACGTAATCACTGTAGCATAAGGACGACACTGTGGAGTCGACACATTCTGTGTAAGAATCTGTGGCTATTTACATACCTTGATTTCGAAATAGGAAGACAAATGGGTGTTTAATGGCGTCGTTGTCGGCGGGATAGCAAACTTACACAGTTGCAAAATGAAAAGGTGGCGAAATATTTTTCCCTAATGGACGGCGACATTGAGTCTTTAAAAAGGGTGTAAATCAAGTCCCGCGACTCAGATACGCTACCAGTTTTCTCTGAGCAGCGCATTTGTTTAACGAGGACACGAAGCATGACCCACTGTTCGCTGTCCTTTCGATAGTGTGAACCAGTGACAGTGGAAATCAACATTAATGATTAACTCTCTGTTCTAAAACTGTCTATATGTAATTTTAGACGTCTGCCTTGACTGGTTAGTAACAGGTCCTACAAGCTCATCAGATTTTAATTGGCGCATAGCTGTTCTTCCTGTTAGGTTATTTTTCGCATTTTTTGGACATGGTCCGATGGTCCATGTATTAATGTATTATCTCCCCATACATAATAAATACGCTTAGTTTGACCTAAAAATGCACACTATTGGCTGTTTTCAAGTATTCACACACCATACTACTCAGTTCTATAACTAAGTTACTGGGATTTTACGTTCTTGTGTGTTCCATGGCTTAGTGTTTATGCAGTCAGCAGCGTCATGATACAGTAGCGCCCTCTATAGTTCTTATATACTTGTGCGAGAATCTCAAGTATCAGGGTCATAGGTCAGATAAAGTAGTTCTACACCTTGTAATCGGTGGCGCGTGGTTGTGTTTCTTCCATACTCAAATCCTACACATAGAACACACAAGAAAACCCCCTGTCTGTGTATCAGATAGGCACCATTGTGACTCTAGTGGCTTGGTCCTAATAACCTACAAGTTGGAATATCTGCATTATTTGGCTTTATGTCTTGAAAGCGCTGGATGAGGCATGATAGGGTTAGACCGTCGTGTGACAGGTTAATTTTACCCTACTGATATTTATGTATAATTTGACGACAGTAAATAATACGATTTAAAAGTATAACAGGAAGGAAGCCACGACAATCAGAGAACTACAAATAATGCAAATATCTAAAATTCCCTCGAGAGGGCGCTATAACATGTAATTACATGAAATAAGATCTCTGTAACACTGAAATCGTACTCATACACCTCCCTAAATGTCATGATCTAATACAAATACAATTTACATGAAATTGGTTTGATGAAAATCATTGCATATATTAAGCTACCTGCAAGGTCATAATGATTTCTAGGCTTAATTTGAAGGAGATAATAAGACATATCAATACACTTGCATAAAATTTACTTTTAAATCCGACTTTAATTACATACATTAACCCATCATTACTTGCTGTTATAATCCTATTACCTACCTTGACTAATATTACTATCACCATCTTGTGTAAAACCATTCCCTATTATACGATCGTGTAATACATTATTTTTTTAATTTCTACTTGACTGCTTCAAACCATGCACAGATTTGTTTAATTTGTATACTGATTTCTTTTCATATTCAGATTGAATCTTAATACCCCCATGCTGCTCCATGTAAGTTTCGCATACCATTGAAATATTAAGATAGGCAGTTAACATCCATTTGATGAAAAATCAAATTATTTTGTGCTGCAATTTGAATTAAAGCATACACTGAGGTTATATCAGCAGTAGGGAAAACATCTCTCTACAATCCACCCCTTCAAACTGGTTTTAACCCTTAGCAACATATTGTATGTCAGAATCACTTGACCCTTCTCTAATAGCATAAATCCAACGACCACCTACTAAATTGCGACCGTTGGGTAAAGTACATAAAGATAATGTATTGTTTACTTTAAGAGAGTTCCTTTCCTCATTCATAGCCGATTGTCAATGTTCTGAGTCAGTGTAATTTATAGCTGCTTCATATGGCTGTTGTTCATTTTTGTATTGCACTTCACAACTCTGTATTTAGACACTTTGTCAGTTTCAGGAAAGTATAGTAGTAAGGCAGTACTGCATTTTGTGCATCGCGTGTCTGATTACGAATATGGTTGATTATTACATTTAGAGGTGGCACAGATATAAGTATTGTCCCATTGGCGGAGTGGTAAAGGCATTATGAAGAACGTTAGCAACTGTAAAATTAATAATGGTCGTTTCAAAGCCAACCAAACACCGCTAAGTGACTTCCAATGGAAATTAATGGGTGTTAGCAGCTTTCTTGATCAGTTTATTTTGGTGTCCGCTATAAATAGATTTGTGAACAATAGACATAATGATAATATTAAAACGTATTATTCGGTCTATTGTCACCACTGAGGAAAGCTGGTAGGGACTTACGAAACGTTTAAGCGGAGTAACAGCCCTTATGACTAATTAATAATAGTTTTAGTTGTTCTTAGAGTTACCTATTTGATATAGTTTTCTATCGTTTATTTTCACCATGCGCAATAACAGTTTCTGCCATTGGTTCCAGAGAGCATCGACGTGACCCTTTGCCTGAGCTGGATCATCGTTATCATGTGGGAGAATTGGTATCTTTGAAGAGAAACAATTTATCTTAATCTAATTGTAATGAATTGTACTTAAAGATGAATCTACTCCAGTATTGCGACCGGTCTAGTGAGAAATTATGTTTTACCTCAATAACACAATTACCACCATCAATAGTAGAATTCCATCGTCTACGAGAACTTGTGTTGGCAAATAATCAGCTAAAGACGTTACCAGAAGAATTGGCTAACTTGCAAAACCTTAAGATATTGGATGTATCACACAATGCATTGACGAAGTTCCCGTCTGTTGTTTGTAACTGCCTAACATTACACGGTTTAAGCGTTGCAGACAATAAGTTGAAAACAATACCTGCAAATATTTCCAGATTGCAACAACTAAACCACATCGATGTTTCATACAACCGCATCAAGTCAATACCGTCAGAACTTTGGACATTAAGACAGCTTAAAGTGGTTAATATGAATAACAATTTAATCTCATCTATATTACCGAATATACGGAGACTATGTCAACTTTATTGGCTGGGACTAGCTAACAATGTCATCCAATCAATCCCTGATGAAATAGGTATGTTCACCTTTGTTATTAATAATTGTGAAATGTTTTTAAAAAATCAGATCCGTGAATGAATCATGATCATGTTACATGCTTGGTTTAATACAAATCGCAGCACCAATACTATACTTACATACCATATAACATACATATATACTGTTTGTCTTCAAATGATTTAACTAGGAAACCTCGACCATCTTCGGTTTTTGGATCTGCGAAACAATCGTCTACATGGAGTACCACAAGGAATATACGATATTATAAGTTTGGCAACGCTGTTACTCGATGGAAACCCAATGTACACACAAACAAGACATTATCCAGGTAACACGTTATATGCTTAAGTGTACAACTAGAGCACGCTAATTCCGTCATGTGTTTTGTGGATCTGTCTCAATTATAATACTTGAATACACTTGAAAGTCCTGTACACTTATCACATTCAGTTAAAAAGAAAATATGTTTTTCAGAAGCAGAAAAAAGACCCACATAATCTGTCAAAAAAGCATCAATACCGACAGATATGATTCAATCAACAACACACATTTCATTTCTCAGTAAGTGCACGTGTCATTTCATTGGCAGACATGATTTCTGTTAATACAATGCTCAACATAATTGAGTGAATAAAACATAACACGGGTTGCGTGGCACAGTGAGATGAACGTCTGCTTTCAGTGGCGAAGTGTTTATTCATGGTTGTGAGCTCTATCCCTGTGTGTGTGTATCTTAGTAATATGCCTTTTATTATATTTACCTTATTGTGTATATCTTTTCCCATGCACCATGTTTTACTAGTGAAATCAAGTGTTATGACCTTTGATCTTTGATCATTGCCTGATCTTGCACATGTCGACAAGACTACGAAATGACACAATAGTGTTGAAATCTGCATCGTTGTGAAAAACAATTTGTCATCATATAATTTATATTTATTCTCTAATTATTTAGTGAAAACGACAGAGAAAGTAGTCACCGTGGAGTTAGACAATGAGGTAATGAGTTAATAAGCTATATACACACGATATCAAGGTTATTGAAGCGATTATTCTGAACGCAGCTATTCAATAGCACGTCTCTTGAAAATATATCATTTTTAATCGCCGGCCCCAAATACATAATCGCCATTCATTCGATTAATGCAAAAATTGTCATCTTGTTTTACAGAAAACTGTGTCTTACAGTATCGGAAATGGATTTTCCCTTTCGGTTCCTCCTGGATCAGTTCAGAGTCCAATTCATCTGACTATCACAACATTACAAGACAATTGTTTAAAGAAAATGTTGGGTGACTACGAAATGATTGAATCAGACATAATTGAAATCTCGCCTAATACATATGAGTTCATACAACCAGTAACACTAGGATTTAAATGTCCATCTATGAATTCGAAATCGCTCTGTATTAAGACAATCGGTGGTAGGAAGAAATGGAAAAATGTGTCTACAAAACAGGTGATTAGATGCATGAATGTTCTAACTGTTACAGCGCATTAGAGTAAGACTTCCCAAATGCCTCGATTCTACCTCATAACAAATAGAACAAAACAAATACACATGTGACAGAACAAATACACATGTGAAACTCAGTTTTATTAATGACTGCGTGAGTGAACATTTAACCTGTCATAATGGCTTCTATTTCCATATCATATCATATTGTCGAAAGCACTGTGCCAATGTTGCAATTTGTATCACTACAATGTTGACTTAATCAGAAGGATTTACTGAATTCCAAGAAGTAACCTAAACACATTTATTTATTTATTATTATTTTTCTTTTGGTTATTGTTTTAGACAACAGATGGTGTGTTAGCAAAAATACGTAAATGTGCCATGTTTGTCGTGTTATCAACTCCTAAAGTGCAAAAGTGTAACGTTAATGATCAAGGTGGTAGAATTGTATCTGAAATTACAGAGGATGTAGTTATTGACTTTCCCCCAAATGCTGTAATGGATGACATGTGCCTGTCTATGACGGTAAGAAATCGTTGAGTAGACATGCAATGACAGTTATATGTTCAACTCTCACTGATAACGAGTCAGTTTTGGGATGATATTATAAGAAGAGACATTCTGAAATATATTACATGCCCTATCCACGATACCGATCCCAGAATACACTCTAAGGGATGGTCGGGTTATCTTACACTATGGATTGACCATACATATGAGTCATGTGAAGGATAATTAAATACTACATGTGAAGAATTGTCCCTAACCAATCAAAAGTCCAAATATGACTGAATTAGTTGATCACCGTTTATGTATACCAATGTCGAGCTTTAGGTATGTTTCTCCACTGAAACTACGATAACATTATTCTGCACAATTTAAATAACTACTACAGTGTATTATGAGAACGATCAGCAGCATACCACGTTCATTTTCGTAAAGACGTGAAACAACCTATTAATAATTTACATTATCTCTTTTTACCCCCCCCCCCATAAATACATATTTGCTATACACTGCTGTAGGTACATATTCCTGACCCAAGCTTAACAGTGACTCATGACTCGTGTATCAAAGATAATGTTATATTCGGTCCAATTGTTCAAATAAATGAGAAGAATAAAGAAAAGATACGCTTTGAGAAAGATGTAAAGTTCAGTCTTCCTGTGCCACCGTCAAAAGAAGATCAGTTCCAACCACGAACTGTAATGGTGTTTTGTGATTCTGGTGATGGTCATTGGAAATTGATAACAAAAGAACACATGGTTGGCTCAGAGAAGACCACTGAATTCAACGTACGCCATTTTTCAGGGTAAGACATTATAAATGTACTTAAAGGAAAAAGATTTAAATGTAGAATGGAAAAAGCTGTTAGAGGTGTAATATGTTGCCCCTGCCATATTCACAAACAAAATACAATCGTGCTTCTGGAGTAGACCCAAATCTGTATGCAGTTGATCTGCAGGCATGCAACAAATATGTCATTGTGTTGCTGATAATAATATTGTACTTGCTTGTAGAAGATAGTATTATGAATGTTTAATCAAAGAACCTGGTTTCACTGATGCATTTAATAATTCTGCCTTCAAACACTCTACATTCATCCAGGATGAAACTCCTGTTTTGCAAGCTGCTCTATCAAGTTTTTTTGGAGAAAACAGCTTATCTCAACATTCAAGCATTTATATGGCAGACACAAAAAATTGTGTAGACAGATGATCTTTGGTTGCTTTAACATCATTTGTCCTATGTCGAAGTTTTCTTTATGAATAGACTACTTATATTTATATATGGCGAGTGTTATCAGTAGGAAAGGATATTCTCACTATTTTGTAAACACCTGATATCACTTCTTGGTCTTAAATTTGAAGCACTTATATCGTTCTTCTGTACACACATTTATGTGAATGCTTTGTGACCAATCATTTAATCTTGTGTAGCACATTAATTTATGCAATACTATACTCATTGTCCTATGTATGTGCACATATGTACATTGTCCACGTATATTGTTATAGAAGATATTAAAACATATTACCCTGCTTTATTACACTGAACTGCCATGATATACGGGTAAATATATATAATGATTCGTTATTCACAGATACACATCGATATCAATGCCTCGGAGATCATCCAGCTCTAAATGGCTGACAAGAAAATGTGAAAAACTGTTAGAAGTTATAAAATTGGGCGTTTTTAAAGTACAGCTCATTCTTATGCAAAAGAAAGATAACCCGAGGATGTTAGTCCTCAGTTTAGTGAAAGTACGTGAACTTGACACGAAGCTTAACAAGTTAAAAGAACTTGGATATAATAACAACGGACTACCATACAGCAATGTTTTTGAGATGGTGAATGGAGATATGATATCGATTGCTGTTGATGAGAGATTTGTCATTGAGTCAGCCGACACACCCACATTTACTGAAAATGGATTAAATGATTATGAAATAATAGTAAGTCTGAAGTCACATAGAAATAGCAGAGTTCAAGGTGGTGTGATTGGTCACTTGGAATGTACATATGAAGGAAAGGAACAACAACAGGAAAGAACTAAATGTTGTGGCATTAGTGATTCTATGGGCGAGACACTGACTATGAAGTTATCATTCTGCCTTCCACAGGTTCGTCACATCATATCAATTATGGGTATTATAACCCCGATTATTTGTTGTAATATTACGAATTACATATAATTACATGCACTCGAGAACGACATATTCCCTGACTCTGACACTCTACTAATTGATTTCATTACGTTTGTTCATTCATTATAGAATGCATGGGTTGCATCAAACACGAGTAATGGTGAGTGATTCTGCAATGATGGTTCTCGTAACGGTTCGAAAATGATTTTGTATTATTTTTTGTGATCAAACGAATCATTACATGAATTGGCCATTAAACAGGTGCTCTTAATACATCCACATGTTAGGAATATTGGAAAACACAATTGCTGAACACAATTCTGGAAAGTAATTATGTTATTTATTATTAATATTATTTATTTATTATTTTATTTATGATAAAATTACAATTCTTGCAATATTTAGATATGGTTACTGAAAATTGTTCATAATATATAGCTTATATTCAATATGTCTGCATTCAATGATTATTTTGTCTCGTTAATTTTCTCTTAAAAAGTTGAACCAATGGTACCCTTGATAGATACACGGTACACTAACTCTGATAACAATGAGGCAGGTATGTTAAACATAAATTGTGATCAGGACAATATAATTTAAAAATAGATATATTGGAAAATTATTCTGATTTATTGTCTTGTTTGCAGTTGGTTTACTGGTTTGTTTTATTTATGTCAAGTTTTGTTCATTTTTTCAACAGATGTGGAGCCACGAAATAATAATGACAATGAATCAGGTTGGTTCAATGCTGCTATTTATTACTATTTTTTTGGAAAAACGAGTTTCGAGTTTTCCGTTATTTGCAATTTATCACTTTGTTCACTGACCCAGATTCTTCCCAAGAAGACCTGCATACCATAAATGGATTAATAATCGGCAGTCAAGAAGATCAGGATCTCACTGAGTCAGCTGGTATTGTTTTATGTTATTATATATCTGTCACCGTAATGCCACAAGTTACAGCGTGTCGTAATTTTGCGTTTTTTTACGGAATATTTTTCATCCTACCATATAAGGAAATGCAAATTCCAAATATGGAACGCAGCCCCCAGGGTTTGATCATACCCAATACAAGGAAGTTCGCTCAATCTGTTCTAAACTTTTTTTATTTGAAAAGGAAAAGATGTATAATAATAAGGTTATTACAAGGATACCGAAAGGTATGCACTCAGACAGTATCAACCTTCCTTTCATGTCAGGTCTATATTCCCACTATACTGTCTTTGTGCATACTTTTCGGTGTCCTTCTAATAACCTCATATTATTTGTAACAGTATACACATCAACCTCAACCATTCATTCCCAAATGATCGATGATAAATAAATTACTCGTCGTCTTTTGTTTTACGTAATCGTTGAAATAACATATTTTAATTAATATATTAAAACCAATAAAACATAATTAAATAAATGCTTTTTTTAACAGCTGACTAATGTTTCATTTTGTCTCTTTAGGTTTGACAGCGTTAACAGATTTAGTATCCAGAGAGCTTCCTCTTCATGAATGGAAGAGCTTCGGTCGTCTGAGACTTGGCTTGAAAGACATAGAATTAGAAAATATTGCCTATGATTATCGTGATAGTGTGCTAGAGCAGAAATACCAAATGCTTTACCTTTGGACGCGAAAAGTCGGAAACGATGCGTCTGTTTGCAGACTATATTCTTATCTACAAGAACATAAACTGTGCAGAGCTGCTGACAAGTTGAAACAATTCGTAACTGCAGATAAAAACTAGTTTAAAGAGCGCATCTGTTTACAGGAGCAATGCATAATGCCCTGGTCGTGAGTTTGAAAATATAAAGATTTGAATAATAATAATAATACAACATTTTGATTCGCCTGACATTATGGTAAACATTCCCACATAATAATTTATTCTATTTTAGATTCCTGTCACACAGGAAACAAACACTCAATAAACGTAATTAAATATCTAATTGTGCACTTTTATCATAATAAACTAAACAATATGAAGATTTGTTATGAATGCAAGTACTCTGTATCTCTGTGAACAGATTGTAAATTGACAGTAAATTTTAACCAGGAATATCTGTGAGAAATAGTCTTGTCTGTATATGCATCGATACAGTGATAACATTGGGTGGTAGTGCATTAGTGGAGCAATAAGCTTAGCTGGATATGCACTGATGATCCAATAATCTTGGCTGTCTTTGACTGTGCACTTTGACTTGTTTGGCTTTGACTGGTTGTGCACTGATGGAACAATAACCGTGACTGGCTGTACACCATTGGAGGAATAACCCTGGTTGGCTGTTCACTAATGGAGAAATAACCTTGGCTGGCAGTAGTGTGGGCAATAAACTTGGCTGGCAATAAACATTGTAACCTTGTACTGATGGGATAATAATGTTGACTGGCTCTACACCAGTGTAGCAGTGACTGTTGATATTTCAAATTGTTTCACTGTATAAGGAACAGGAGAACAGGATAGTGTTTGCCAACCCAAAAGTCCTGACCCAGATGGATTGGGAGAGGCAGAAATCAGCCACCATCTGTCACATATGCACAAAGCTACTTAATGGTGACTCAGTTCATTTCCATTGTCACTGGAAAATACCGAGGTGTCACCCACAATGCATGTACCTTTAAGCTGAGATCACAGACATTCGAATCGTTTCACAGAGAAGCACAAAGAAGTATGTCTTCATCTCCCCAGGCAGTCTTCTGTATTATATAGCTCAATATGAGTGATGATCACTGTTGCTGTGGAAGGGTATCTTTTCATATGAGTATATGGTCCTTTGGCAGTAGTTAGCAGATTCACAAATTCCTCAGGGCGTTATGCGAAGACTAACAACCCACTAGCAGAGGGCTATAACAATTCTAAGCCAAACTATATCCTCCACTTAGATGCCAGCAACATTTATGCCTGGGCAATCAGTTACCTGCTGTGGAAGTTGGCTTCAAGTGGGTTTGCAGGGGCCAAATTAAGTCTTGCAGCAGTCAGGTCAGAGGGCTTGACCTCGATTACCCAGACGAGTTACACGATATGCACAATGCCTACCGATTGGTGCTAGAGCACATAGTGGTTCAGAAAGAGTGGATGATCCCATGGGGTGTTAGGGTGGCACCGAACAAGTTCGAAAAGCAGATTTCCAACCTTTATGATAAAGAACAGTATATACTTCATTATCACAATCTGCAGCTCTATATATCCTTGGTATGTTTTTGTGACAAATTAAGCAAGCTTTGGCCAGAGGCCTTGACTGGGGCCTTATATCAAAATGAATACTGAGCTTTGAAAGAAGGCAACCAATGACATCGAGAAGGATCTGCACAAGCTAATGAACAACTCAGACTTTGGGAGAATCTCTGCAAGTTAGTTAATGTCAATCTTGAGGACATATTAAAGTGCCAGTAAGACATCGCATTCTTTGCATGAACCATTATCTTTGAGGATGAGCTTACGGCCCAGTTCCATAAGAACCATTTGGTGTTTAACCAGCCTTTATATGCGTGTGTGAGTATTCTTGACTTCATTCCTTATGTATATATTACAACCAGGTAAACACCTTTTATGGAGAGCATCGTCAGCTCATATATACAGTCACTGACGTTTTCCTACTTGCAACCAATGCAGAAGATGTCTACAAGAACATGGCCAAGGACATGACATATATGATACATCTGATTTCCTGTACAGCACAACACGTTTTATAGAACGGGTGTGCTGGATGTCCCATGTTGGGCTGCACACCAAGATGTAGCCGATTCTAGAGGTTAGTGGAGGAAACATCAGAGAGGGTGTGAAAAAACATTTGGCATGAACATTATCAAGGGGTCCTCTTTGGCAGAAGAGTCTTCCGCCATGTAATGCATGTGCTATGGTCTGAGTCAACTGAATCTACATGCAGCACCTGAATAAGGTATCACTGTGTTCCTTTGGAGTATTAAATAAGAGACTGTATAACCCTGTTCGTCGGAAGTTTAGTGTAAGGCAGCATCAGAAGGTGCTCATCCTTAATAAATCAATGAAGTGTCCCATCTAACAGATAATACAATATGGGCTTGTCAGCCTTGATAATGGAGCATCGAAGTCAGAATTAACCACACCAAATTAGTTTCCCTCTGGTGGCTGCCCTCCAGTTTGCCAGGCGGGAGGAGGTATCAAACCACAACACCAGAGAACTTATTTTGGTCTGCTAAACTGAGAGGGCATCCAAAATGTGTAGAAAGGGCTTTTGGTTGATATCTATGACCATCATGCCTGTATCACAGGGCGTGAAGTCAAGCTTTGGAATACATTTCCAATAACCATCCAAAAGGGTGCATTTTCGCTCAAAAGTAGACATATAGAAATTATCCGTATTTGGTTCCATGTTTACCAGGTGGTGGTTTTGTATGCATATCGTTCTTAGGGAGGAGATCAAAATCAAACCAGCGGTTTCTGGCCCGCGGAGCTTCCTGGAGCTGCGCGCATTATGCAAATGTTTGCAAGAATATTCATAAGCTGACAATTCAGTGCGGCGCCTCTTTTTCGCGGGTGGACTGGAACGAATTGAAAACCCATTGTTTAACTCTGAAATATCATTAAATCTGTATAAAAACCAAGAAAAAATCAATAAAAAAAATCATGGACGCTCGTACGTTTGTACATTTTTAAGGATATCGTTGTATAAAGGTTTCTGCTGAGCTATTTCTTAGCGTCGCGTAAACAGCGTGTGTTTATCAAAGCGTCGATTTCGCAAAATTGCTGGCCGTAAAAAAATGCTGTTTCACGTTGCTTTACCGTTGTAAGCACAGAACGAATTGCGGTGTAGCTAGCTGTTTTTAATGTAAAGAAAACCGAACTATGCGTCCAAATCGGGGTCAGAAGTCAAAATACTTGTCAGCGATTTTCTCTATTAAATTCACGTAATAATAATGTCTCCATGAACACTTTTGCGTAGATTTCACAAAATTTCGGGCCGTAAATATTTGGTGTGTTACGTTGCATTGTTGACGTAAAACATCGGAAGACTGTTATTATAATATCTTGCTCTGATTTGAATAAAATTATTGCCAAATAAAAACGAACTTTAGTGGATCGCACTGAAATAAAAACTCACATTTTGACTATGTGTTCCCGCAGTAGGTCAGAAGTTCAAATACCTATCAACGACTATCTCTAAGTCACGTAATAATACTGTTTCTATGACCACATTTGTCGATTGCAAAATAATACCGGATGTGTTTATGTGTCCAAAATGAATGCGATGTAGCGATTGATATCAGCAATGTTTCACTGAGAGCAAGTTCAATAATTCTCAATATTTACTGAGAGTTCGTTCATATTAAACTCACATTTTACATACACACTTCAACAGACTATCAAACACTAACCAGAAGAATAAAATGTAGATTAACAGTAATTATTCATAACATCGTAACTACACAACTTTGATAATACGCTGGATCGGCTGTACACAGTTTCCAAAGTATAAAATATACCATTACGGACGCCCGCATTCTACAAATATTCACAGCTATAATTATAGTAGCAATGGGATTATCTAACGCCGTAATTCATAACATTGTGACTACACGACGATTCATTTTTCCCGAGGTACCCGTCAAACCATCGAGGTCTATCTGCGTGAATATATTCAAGACGCTTTCGTTGACTTGGACGCACAGGCACTAAAACAAATTGGAATTCTCTAACAGGACAGGAATTTCGGCTTCCTGAACTTTGAATCAATTTATATTAATTTGTCAAACACAGACATTTGACAGTTACATTTTCTAGTTAAACCTGATGGTATTCGGACATTAAAAAAATCGTTTCCGGGTGACCTAATAACCTAAGCAAATTAGTGAAATCGGCGGAGCTCTTCTGACGATATAGTAGCCCCCCGGAGATAATTACACACAATGAATTATAGGACAATTGACAGTTTACGGTGTAATTGTGGACGAGGAAGCAAACCCAGGCACCTGCATAATTAAAAAAAAACACCTCTGAGTGGTCCTCTACTCAAAGGTAGCGGAACAATTTACCCTAATTGACGGCGTTATTGGGTCCATAAAAAGGAATATAAATCAAGCATCGCTGCTTAGACGCACTACTGCGGTTTTCTCTACGCAGCACTGTTTTTTAACAAGCTCATTGTGAAATGTGACCAAGTGTTCGCTGCCTGGCGATGGTGGAAGACTACGTTGAAGATTAACTTTCCGTGTTACAACTGAGTATATCGCAGCTAATACGTCTGCCTTAGTATTGTTAAGCGACTGTGAGGACTGGCGACAGTCAAACTATATTGAAGACTATCGTCACATCTATATGAAACGCCTGCCTTAGCGTGAAGCAACTGGTTAGTAACAGGTCCTTCAAACACATTACACTAAGCCGCATAGTTCTTCTACACATTTATTTTTTCGCATATTATGGATATGGTCCAAATGCTCGCAGTCTGTGCCAATTCTAAGTAGCTGAGTGATATAAAAGAGAGTCATGCCCTGGTATGTATCATTACCCCCCCCCCCAATAAATGCGGTTAGTTTGACCATAACAAGTAAATTATCGTTTGTTTTATGCATTAACAGCACATACCAACTTGTTCTATAACTACGAGTTATTGTAATGGTATTCTACGTTCTTTTGTGTTCCGTAGACATCCATGCCCTGTCTGTTTATCAGATAGTCGTCGTTATGAATCTAGTTTATGTCTTGGTCCCAAGAACCCACGTGAGTTGGAATTATCTGCATTACTTGGCTTTAAATTATTCTTCTAGTCATATTATTTTATCCATCATTGTGGTTTGTAGTGTCCTATAATCTATACTGCATTTTTCACTGGAAGTCAATTCCGGCAGCACCACAAAACCCAGTTAACGTAAATGATCTTGTATATGGTTCCAGAGCTTTCAAATTCACGTTATTCACGAATGCATTAACGAATATATTGTTGGTTTCGAAAATAGTTTTCAATTATTTTATTCAAGTTAAACCTGTGACATCTTGACAATCATTATGCCGATTTTGTGTGTAAATTGTATAAGAACAATGACTACAGACTAAAATGCATTAACGCAGTGTGGTAATACACGGTATTGGACTTTTACAGCTTATATGGCGAAAGAAAAAAACATGGCTCCCTTTCCCATAGCAAATTTCGTGTAGAATTGTTGGCAGGAGCTAATAAATGCCTCACAAATATTAAAAATTTCCCAGGATACATGATACTGGGTTGTGATTTTTAGTCACCCCTTGCACCTGAAAGACCCCCACCACCACCATATTTCTAACTCGAATGACCTCAAATTAAGACTTCGCACGTATTGACACAAACGCCTATAAATGTATGAACAAAACAATAATTGATTGACCGTTATAACAAATAGGGTTAATCTTTATTACAAATAGGGATGTTATTACAAATAGAGTTAATTGCTATTGGAATAAAGTTGATTTATACATTTAAGGGTGACATATATGTAATTGTAAAATTAATTATTACAAATGTTCGCAATTCTTCTTGGAACAAATATTCTGATTGGTTGTTTTTCGCGTCAATGCGT